TTTTACCATTCTAACTGTTTTTAAAATGTACAATACTTGCTGATACTAAGTACATAAGTACATCCACAATGTTGTGTAAGCATTACCACTATCTAGTATTAGAAAAGAAAAAAATTTTTTTTGAGATGGAGTCTTGCACTGTTGCCCAGGCTGGAGTGCAGTGGCACGATCTTGGCTCACTGCAACCTCCACCTCCTGGCTTCACACCATTCTCCTGCCTCAGCCTCCAGAGCAGCTGGGACTACAGGCGCCCACCACCACGCTCGGCTAATGTTTTGTACTTTTTTTTAGTAGAGATGGAGTTTCACCATGTTAGCCAGGATGGTCTTGATCTCCTGATCTTGTGATCCGCCTGCCTCAGCCTTCCAAAGTGCTGGTATTACAGGTGTGAGCCACCGCGCCTGGCTTTTTTTTGTTTGTTTGTTTGTTTGAGACAGGGTCTCACTCTGTCTCCCAGGCTGGACTGCAATCACAGCTCACTGCAGCCTTGACCTTCTGGGCTCAAATGATCCTCCCACCTCAGCCTCCCAAGTAGCTGAGACCACAGGCATGCACCACCATGCCTAGTTAATTTTTTTTTTTTTTTTTTTTTTAGGGAACTGGCTTTCACCATGTTGCCCAGGCTGGTCTTGAACTCCTGAGCTCAAGTGATCTGCCTACCTTGGCCTCCCAAAGTGCTGGGATTACACGTGTGAGCCCCAGCGCTTGGCCTAGTGTCAGAAATTTTTAATCACTCCAAAAGAAAATCTCTCAGATGAGGCATTTAACAAATGTTCGCTGTTGTTATTATCAGTAGTAATAGTAATAGGAGAAGGAGGAAGAGGAAGAAGAAAAGGAAGAATGAGAAGTAAAAGGAGGAGGAGGGAAGGATGAGAGGGAAAGCGAAAAAAGAAAAAAGAGGAGGAAAAGATGAGAAACAGAAGGGAGGGGAGAAAAAGAGAGAGAGAGAGAGAGAGAGAGAGAGAGAGAGATGGGCTGTGTCCAGAGGCTCTGGGGAGCAGGGATGAGAAATTCCTCAGAAGCCGACAATCTGGGCACCCTTGTCATCTCCTATCTTGCCTCCTAGGCTCAGCCCTGCCCACATTCCTTCTGCTAGGAAACCACCCAGGGACTTGCTCCTGTCTGCCCTAACACCACTGTTGCCAGGCAACCTTCTACTACTTCTCCAGCTGTCAACCTTCATGAAGCATTGGGCCTCTTTCCAATTCTGGCTAAAGTCAGAACCCTCAGAAGACAAATTGAGGAAGGAGAGATGTCATGAGAGGTTATAAAATTAAAATAGGCTGGATGTGGTGGCTCATGTCTGTAATTGCAGCACTTTGGGAGGTCGAGGTGGGCAGATCGCTTGAGCTCGGGAGTTCAAGACTAGCTTGGGCAACATGGTATAATCTCATCTCTATAAAAAAATTTAAAATTAGCCTGGTGTGGTGGTATGTGTCTGTAATCCCAGTTACTCAGGAGGCTGAGGCAGGAGAATCACTTGATTCTGGGAAGCAGAGGTTGCAGTGAGCGGAGATCATACCACTGAACTCCAGCCTGGGTGAAAGAGTGAGACCCTGTCTCAAAAAAGTTAATTAATTTAATTAAAATAGCTTGCTGTTTGAACACTCATACTTAGCACTGTGCATCCGAATCAGCAG